AAAGTCAACTCTACTTAGCATCTCTAGTCAGTCAGGATTATGCAGCCAGGATTAAAGCTAAATAAATTGACATGCCATCATTTCACCTTCAGAAGACACAGGATTTTTAATTTGAGCTAATGCTAAGGCTTGCGGGCTGGGCTGGGCTAGGATTGGATTGGATTTCATTTTATGTCCTTTTGTTAAGGTTTTGGGTAATCAACTTGCTGTCACATAGTTTTTCATAAAACCTATTTTTAAAAAACCAAACAAATGCAGTTTCCTATTGGCCAAGTTTGAACATTTTATGGTGTTCTCCTCACATTCTCTGCATTACAGTGTGAATAATCAGGGAACAAATTCAAACAGCTTTGTGAGAGAATTGGAGGAGAAGCATGAGACTTATCAATCTGACTTCTTCTCAGAGAGAAGCACCACAAATTCCTTTCAGTATTTCAAAGGAGGTTAACTTGGTTGATTTAAAAATATCTTTGAGAGATTACAGTGTCCTCATGAAGCTTTGCTTCACTTTCCATATGGCAAGTTCCCTGAGATAACTGAAACTAAAAGTTCCTTCTCTCAAGCCTAACTATTCGTCCCAAACAACAAAATGCCATAAGTATGAATAAATAAAAGCCCTGGTCAATTCAAATGCCTTTCTAATAACTACTGAACAGTATCAACTTCTTCACACAGAAATTTAGGCAGCTTCTTTTCAAACAGTGTTCCTCAATTATTTCTAAACCTAAATTTAAGTAATAGTCTCCACCTTTTTTATTATTCTTTACCTTACTTAATTTAATTACTAAACACCAAGTGAGTTTGCATCTATGGTTTCCTCATTATCGTTGCTGCACCCACTCATTACATAAGTAATTGTCCGTTTCTTGGGGAATAGCAGGAGTTTGACATTATTTCAAAGTTTCAAGGCACTTTTGTTGTTGCAGCTGACTTCCAAAATTTCCTCATTAACTGCTTTCTGTGTCTCTTGGGCAAAGAACCACATTATTAAATATTGATTTCCTTTATTTTTAGGCCTGCCAATTTTACCATTTTCAGTCTCACTGGTCTCCTACTATTTAGTGTACCTGTGATTAATTGAGTTCTAATTTTCCATGTTCATGTTCTATGAGGTCCTGTATCAAGGCTATTTGATGGGAGCCCACAGAAATTGGCTCCAATCCTCAAGGCAAAGCTTAGGAGATGTGGCTCAATAACCACCTTTTCCACTCATTGCCGGGAACTTTCAATCCATTGCTCACCAACAACCAGGCTCAATTCTTGACTCCCTGTGGGACCCTCCAAGTATGCTTTTTCACTGCAGCAATTCTTTGCATCTTGATTACTTAACATTTTCTGTATTTTTAAATCAACCAAGTTAACCGCCTTTGAAATACTGAAAGGAATTTGTGGTGCTTCTCTCTGAGAAGAAAGAAGTTTGATAAGTCTTTTTGAATTTGATCCCTCATTATTCACATTATAGTGCAGAGAATGTGAGGAGAACACCATAAAGTATTCAAATTTGGCCAATAGGAAAATGCATAGGGGCCAACGGTGTCCGGCAGCAGCCACAGCCTGCCAGCCCCTCAACCGGTGCACTCTGGGGCTCCCCAGCCTGCTGCCAATACTGGGCCAGCCCTCCAGCAGCAGCAGAGTAGGGGAGAGGGAAGACACATGATGCAGACCGCTGGACGCACCTACTCTGTCCCATCTGTTTTTGCTTTTGTTTGGAGAGCAGGGTGCTGCTGATCATCTTGGCTCCCTCACAGATCTTGCCCTTGGCCCGCACTTGGAGCCTGTTCCCATCACACACTTGACACACCTTGGCCCTGCCTTGAGCCGCCTAATGGACCTGTGTGAGTTGCTGGTGGGGGCAGTGCATGTGCCCACAGAGAGGGCTCTGAGTGCTGCCTCTGGCACACATGCCATAGGTTTGCCACCACAGGTATAGGGTTTCCAACTTAAACTGGGGGGTTGGAATAAATGACCTCCATGGTCCCTTACAACTTGGTTATTCTGTTTTCTGAGGTTGTTGGAGTTGGAAGAAGTTAATTTGAGACTTGGGTGACATGATTCTTTATGTTTATGCTAAAGGTAATGTAGATTTCAATAATCATTTCAATAGCCATGCTGTGTTGAGGGTATGGAATAAGTATAAAACAAGATTGACTCCCAAAATTTTTATATGGGTATTACTCCCAAAAGCTTTTTCTAGAAAAGCACATCCAAACAGTTTTTCATCATATATACAGCAATACTTTGTAGGGGCCAGTGTACCTGTGTGTACCTCAAGGTCCAGTCCACCATCCAAGTACTAATCAAAGTCAATTCTACTTGGCATCTCTACTCAGTCAGGATTAGGCAGCCAGGATTAAAGCTAAAGAAGTTGACATGCCATCATTTCACCTTCAGAAGACACAGGATTTTTAATTTGAGGTAATGCTTAGGCTTGCGGTTTGGGCTGGGCTAGGATTGGATTGGATTGGATTTCATTTTATGTCCTTTTTTGATATTTTAGGTAATCAACTTGCTGTCACATAGTTTTTCATAAAATCCATTTTAAAAAACCAAACAAATGCATTTTCCTATTGGCCAAATTTGAATACTTTATGGTATTCTCCTCACATTCTCTGCACTATAGTGTGAATAATCAGGGATCAAATTCAAACAGACTTATCAAACTTCTTTCTTCTCAGAGAGAAGCACCACAAATTCCTTTCAGTATTTCAAAGGAGGTTAACTTGGTTGATTTAAAAATACCTTTGAGGGATTACGGGGTAGAAGCAGGATATGTGAAATGTCCTCATGAAGCTTTGCTTCACTTTCCATGTGGCAAGTTCACTGAGATAACTGAAACTAAAATGTTCCTTCTCTCAAGCCTAACTATTCGTCCCAAATAACAAAATGCCATAAGTATGAATAAATAAAAGCCCTGGTCAATTCAAATGCCTTTCTAATAACTACTGAACAGTATCAACTTCTTCACACAGAAATTTAGGCAGCGTCTTTTCAAACAGTGTTCCTCAATTATTTCTAAACCTAAATTTAAGTAATAGTCTCCACTTATTTTATTATTTTTTACCTTACTTAACTTGATTACTAAACACCAAGTGAGTTTACATCTGTGATTTCCTCATTACCGTTGCTGCACCCACTTATTACACAAAGTAATTGTCCGTTTCTTGGGGAATAACAGGAGTTTGACATTATTTCAAGGTTTCAAGGCACTTTTATTGATGCAACTGACTTCCACAATTTCCTCATTAACTGCTTTTTGTGGTTCTTGGGCAAAGAGCCACATTATTAAATATTAATTTCCTTTCTTTTTAGGGCTGCCAATTTTTTCATTTTCAGTCTCACTGGTCTCCTATTTAGTAGGAGTGTACCTGTGGTTAATTGATTTCTAATTTTGCGTGTTCATCTTCTATGAAGTCCTGTATCAAGGCTATTTGATGGGAGAACATCATTTGTAGTCCTCAGAAATTGGCTCCAACCCTCAAGGCAAAGCTTAGGAGATGTGGCTCAATAATCACCTTTTCCACTCACTTCCTGGAGTGTATCCTTAACCCTCTTTCAATCCGTTGCTCACCAAGAACCAGGCTCAATTTTTGACTCCCTGAGGGACCCTCCAAGTATACTTTTTCACTGCAGCAATTCTTTGCATCTTGATTACTTAACATTTTCTGTATTGTATTTCTGCATCTAATACAGAAATTGTTAAAATCTTCCACTAGCTTTTTTTTCTATTCTACTTCTCATCCTTCACTCTAAGGATCCTTTCTCAGAGCAATTGTATCGCAGATTGGGAGAAGAAAAAAAGATAGAAGAGAAAAACATGTTGAAAAATAGGCAAATGTTGAAAAGTCATATTTAGTTTGTGAAACTAGGATGATTTTATATATAACTAAGTCTGAGTATTTTGTTTTGTGAAAACAGATTTTAAGTTACTGTGTTATTCAGGGTATGGGAAAATGCTTGTGCTTCACTTTGAAATCATTTCTAAATCTCTACAGCATCCATGGCAACTGGATGCGACACCTCAGAACCAACAGAACTTACAGAATAACCGAGTTGGAAGGGACCTTCTAGCCCAATCCCATGCTCAAGCCGGAAACCCTACACCATTCCAGACAAATGGCTTTCCAAATTATTCTTTAAAACCTCCAGTGATGGAGCACCCAAAACGTCTGGAGCCAAGCTCTCACAGTTACTGCTATTGAGCCACGAATCACCTATTCTATATCTGTGCATTCAGTTTTTCTTGCCTAAGTGTAAAGCCATATTGTTCTCACCACTGAAATTTAGAGAGAAGTAATAAAAAATATGGCCGCCATGAGATTCTTTGTAGCTGAAGCAGCAGGAAACATTCAATGTAACCAACACTCAAAGCTTTTGGAACCCAGCTCTCCTTCTCAATTTCAGTTAATCTTCTGTGTCCCAAAGGACTTCTAATAACCTTCCATTAAGGCTGCAGGAATATTTCCAACTCTGCATATATTCTCTGTCTTCAGAGAAATAGAAATCACCTGGATGAGGAATACTTCAATGAAAGCCAAATCAGTCTGTGCTTAATCTGAGTGCCACAAAGACCCACCAAGAAGCAGAGCAGCTGTTTTCCCAAAACCCACCCATAAAAATGTGTCGCCCATGATAACAGTGCCAACTCCAGATTTCTACCACTTGGTTCTAAGGGCTCTTCCCAAACTCCAGCCATTAGTGAACATGGCTGAGCATTATTATAATGGACTATAGAGTTTGGGCAGCAATTCAGTAAGGGATTTTCTTTGCCCCATTAGGACATTGCAAGTCCTGAGCCTCCAATATTTTACAATCATAGCAGGTTAGATGTTCAACTAAATCTGCTGCTCTTCTAATGGCTTTTGTAACAGCTAACAAACAGGAGTGTTTCAACACAAGGAAGATGCACCATTGCCTTATGTAAGAACTATTTTGCAATAGTTCACTGAGGTGATATGATGCAATCATTTTAACTCAATAAATAGAGAGCCCTGTCTGTCCCAGGAATAAGATTTGGTCCAAAACAAGTCTCAGCATGAAGATCCTTTATCTGCTGTTCACATTTCTTTTCCTTACATTCCTGTCTGAACCAGGTAAGAAACAAAATTACTGATAATTTACAAAGGAGTGGTAACTCACTCCTTTTTAAACAAATATGATCATCACTGAAAGCAGAATAACTTCAACATCTTTTTGTTTTATTTTACAGAAATAGCTTTGAACAGTATAGACTATTGACAATATGAGCCTCCAAACATTTGAAAAATATGCTATTGTTTTTTCTTTTCATTCACGATTCTTGAAAGAACTTTATTGGAGTTTTTGTTATTGTAGCTTATTTTTGTTGATTTGTTTCACTTTAGTATTGGTTTAGAAAATTCTTAGCCAAATATGTTCTATTTGAATAAGGAGGCACAATGGAGAAACAGTTTGGTCTAGTGATTAGAGCAAAACACTATAATTCTGGATACTGAGTTCTAGTCCCACCTTGGGCCTGAAAGCTGATTGAGTGAATTTGGACCAATCTCTGTCTCTCTGTCTCTCTGTCTCTCTGTCTCTGTCTCTGTCTCTGTCTCTGTCTCTGTCTCTGTCTCTGTCTCTGTCTCTCTGTCTCTCTGTCTCTCTCTGTCTCTCTCTGTCTCTCTGTCTCTGTCTCTGTCTCTGTCTCTGTCTCTGTCTCTTTCTCTGTCTCTCTCTCTCTCTCTCTCTCTCTCTCTCTCTCTCTCTCTCTCTCTCTCTCTCTCTCTCTCAACCTCTTGATGATGTTGCTGTTATGGAGAGAAAAGGATGAAGAAGGGTTACATTTACCACCTTGAGTTATTTTTAAAAAATAAAAATGGGAAAAATAAAAGATATTAAATATCTAGTGAATATATTTGTACTTAATNTCTCTCTCTCTCTCTCTCTCTCTCTCTCTCTCTCTCTCTCTCTCTCTCTCTCTCTCTCTCTCTCTCTCTCTCTCTCTCTCTCTCTCTCTCTCTCTCTCTCTCTCTCTCTCTCTCTCTCTCTCTCTCTCTCTCTCTCTCTCTCTCTCTCTCTCTCTCTCTCTCTCTCTCAACCTCTTGATGATGTTGCTGTTATGGAGAGAAAAGGATGAAGAAGGGTTACATTTACCACCTTGAGTTATTTTTAAAAAATAAAAATGGGAAAAATAAAAGATATTAAATATCTAGTGAATATATTTGTACTTAATGTGTGGAAAAGAGAAGAAATATCAGCAAAATATAATAAATGGACAGCATTTCAAGAGCAGAAAAGAGCAATGATAGAAACATTAAGAGAAAAGAGAGAAAGCCAAAGGAAAACCAGGTCCTAAAGTTTAAAGGAAGTTAAACCTTCTCACTCAAGGTTTTCATCCAAAACACACAATGCAACTGGCCACTGTAACTCAGCAAGGATCCATGGCAATACTGGAGAGAAATATATCATAGCAAGGTCTATCCTTCATGTGAACCAGATTATTTCTTCCCTCCTACATTAATAGATGTAGGCTTACCAGTTAATTCATAATATTAGTAATAATAATAATAATTTATTTATTTATTTATTTATTATTTAGATTTATATCTTGCCCTTCTCCTCGTGGGACTCAGGGCGGCTGACAATCAATTAAAATACATGAATGACAATACAGGTTTAAAATTAATTAAAAATTAAAAAATATTAACGATTTTCCAATTTAAAATATTGATTAAAACCCCTCTAAAAATTACCCTAGGCCAGTCCTGCAAGCTGGAATAACCAAGTCTTGAGGGCGCGGCGAAAGGAAGGGAGATCAGGGATAACCCTGATCTCTGGGGGCAGTTCATTCCAGAGGGTGGGGGCTCCCACAGAGAAGGCCCTCCCCCTTGGGGTCGCCAGCCGGCACTGCCTGGCCGACGGCACCCTGAGGAGACCCACTCTATGGGAGCGGACAGGTCGATGGGAGGTAATCTGCGGCAGGAGGCGGTCTCGAAGGTATCCGGGTCCGATGCCATGGAGCACTTTAAAGATGATAGTTAGCACCTTGAAGCGCACCCGGAAGGCCACAGGCAGCCAATGCAGCTCGCGCAGCAGCGGCGTCACGTGGGAACGTCGAGTCCCCCCCAACACCGCCCGCGCGGCCGCATTTTGGACCAGCTGGAGCCTCCGGGTGCTCCTCAAGGGGAGCCCCATGTAGAGAGCATTACAGTAGTCCAGGCGGGAGGTGACAAGTGCG